TCTTAAGTAACACAAGCTCAGGACACAGCCCGGTGCTCACAGAAGGGCCACCTCCCCAGGAGGTCGCATGCGCTCTCGGAGCCTCAGGGTACCAAGCCAAGTCCCACCCGGGAGCTGAGGACCCTCAGCCTCTGCCTCCAGCCCAGACCTCTCCTGTGAGCTCCAAGCCCGTCTGCCCCCATCATGGGCAGCTCTGCCGGGACATCCCAGGCTCCCAGGCGACGTGAAGAAAGCTACCTCTTCCCATCCCGTCTCTGCCTAGAGCTGCCTCCGCCCACCTGAGCAGAGCACCCAGTGTCTTTCTCCATTCTGTCGCCCGACATGCAGCTCCACCCTCTGCCCGGGGCTCACACGCCTGCTTGGCCGGCTCAGGGGCCGCCTCCGCTTGCCTGGACGCCCGCAATCCCTCTTGCCCTGGCTGGCCAGCCCTGGCCCCGAGCTCCCATCCACCTGCTGCCAGGCTGCCTGTCGGTGCCTTAAACACGGAAAACCGAACGCCTGGCCTCCCTGCTCAGAGCCCGCAGTGACAGCCAGTGATGGCCAGTCCTGGCTCCACCGCGGCTGGCCGGTCCCTCTCCCGCCACCCACGTCTGTTTCCCCCATGCCTCCTGCTTCTGCCTCGACGACAAGTCAGGCCAGCCCAGAGTCCCCCCAAGGGCCGACTAGCACATCCAGCCTCCGCCCTGCCACACGGGCCCCTGCCATGGGTGCGGCACCTTCTCTCCAACATCTGTACCCCCCAGTCCTGCCAGCAGCTGCCTTCCTGCCCTGACCACAGTCCGTGCCCCAAACCGCATGCCTCCTGCACCTGACAGCCCCACCTGCACGGCAGCCCTAGCTCGCTCCCCTAACTTGTCTTTGCCTGTCTCTCCGCCCCTCCAGAACGTCAGCTCCATGGGACACGGAATTGTGTCTGCTGTGGCCTCGGCTCCGGGGTACAGCGAATGTCGTGAGTTGTCTGCAGCAGCGCCCTCTGCTGTGAGGGCAGAAATGGCACGGGGGCTCTTTTTCCAGTTCTGCCTCTGCAGACCTGACCCCCACGAGGCTCAGGTCCCAGCCCTGCACCTCCCGATTTTCTCATGAGATCGACAGGTGGCAGCTCAGGGGGTTTCCTCCTTTTGACCGTGGACTAGCCCACCCCTCCCTCGGGAGACAGGGTAACGGCGATGACAAACATGTCCTATCGAACTCAGCACTCCACAGGGCGCCCTCCCAGGGAAGGGGACACACAGAAGGTGACACAAAATTCCAAAGCCACAGGCGGGTCTGGGGCAAAGCAGCCCACACGGGAACCCCCCTGTGCTGCCTCGGTTGCTAATTCAGAGCTTTCTCTCCCCAGCTCCGAGCTGGCCCTGCCACCCTCCCTCCCACCTCCCCACATCTGTCTCATGTGCTGGGATTGGACAAAGGGGTTTTATTCCTTTTGGAAGCCTTGGGTCCTTCCTGGGGGGCCACCGAGTCCTCTGGGCAGCGTCTCCAGTGGCCAGGAGGTCCGTATTATGCTGACCTCCACTCTGACCACTGGGAGGGAATGGGGGACCTTAAAACAGAGGCCAGGACGTGAAGGGTCAGCAGTGTGGGACCCCGAGCTGCAGCAGGCATCCACAGGGCCCACAGCACCCTGCGCTCTTCCCCTGGAGAGAGCCTCATCCTGTAAGGCTCCAGGCTCTTCTTTTTTTGTTTTTTTATAAAAACAAGAATTTTTATTCTTCATGGAATTTTGGTGCCTCGTTTAGTGCTTATGGCAGATGCCACCATCCACCTGCTGTTTCAGCTTCTTAGGTTACAAGCCTAATGTGTCTTATTGCAGGGACCGCATAAGGGGCCTCTCCTTATAACAAAACATCAAATCAACACTGTCCCTTCCCTGTGCGGAAACCAGGCTTATCAATAATCTGACCCAGTGTGCACATGGTCCAGATGGTGCCCTGTGTGTGACGTAAAAGGAAACTAAAGGTCGTCTGTAATAAAATATATGAAACCCCCTTTGGAGGGGGTGGCAGTGCCCAGCTGAGGACCAGCGCCGTGTGGGGTAGGGATGTCACGCTGGCTTGTCACTGCTGTCTAGACATCTGGCTTCTCTGCCGGGGAAGGGGGACGGAGCCACGTTCACCCCCGCCTGTCTGCTGCACATAGTAGGTGCTCAAGAAGTATTTGGTGGAGTGATGGATGAATGACTGAATGATGAATTCAGTCCCAGGTGAGATGTGCTGATGGTGTCGCGGGTGGGATGAGGCTGTGACCCGGCCCTGTGAGCCCGCGGGGTGCCGAGGCGGTGGCAGGTCCATGTGCATTTGCTCCCGTCGGTGTCAAAAGTTGGTGTCGCTGCCTCTCCCGGCCCCCTGCACGCTTCTCCGGCCCAGGGGCTGCTCTCTTCTTCTCTGTCTCCCCCTCGGCGCCCTGCTCAGCGTCTGGCACAGAGTGGGTGCTCAATAAATACCCGTTGAATTTAATGCATCTCAATTCAACAAACATTTATTGAGCGTCCACTGTGTTGAGGTAACAATCCCACCTTCCTTGGGCGCGCTACAGATGGACGTCCCAGGGGTGCGGGCGGGTGTGCCCTGCTGTGTGCAAATGAACTGCTGCTGATGGACTCATGTCTGGAGGCTCCATAGTGAGATTCAAAAGAACCCAAGAAGAGCAGGTGATGACTCTCGACCTACGTTGCTTCCCTTTCAGCCTGGATTCCTCGCGAGGCTGGCAGACAGCAAGGCTCGCCTGACTCAGGCATGCCAGCAGCCTGGTTCTCACTGCTATTCCATGCACATCGGGAACCAAGGCAGTGTCACCAGCACAGAAATAAAGGCAGTCGCAGTGGTTAGACGTGGGGTTTCCTGCTCTGAGGAAACGACATCAGGACGCCAGCAGAAAGTGAAGGAAGGTCAGAATCATAATCACAGTTGTCACAAGCAAGTGTTGGGAAAGAGAGGGCACGCACACGGGGTACTGTGCGGGAATCTCTCATTAGATCACGAATTCCGGCACAGGCAGCTGGATTCCTGCAGATCAGTGGTGCCCTGCGTGGAGGCAGTCGTGGTCACCTCTGCACTGCACATGCAGCTGGTGATGGGAATGCCACCGCAGGGGGCGCAGGGGACAGACGAGCTGTTGCCGCTGTGTGATTGGCTAATCAGGACACTGGCCTAGCCTTTGGGCCTTGCAGGGCCTGCCACCTGCCAGGCTCACGTGCCCTGCGACAGCTTCAGGTGTCTCATCATGGCATTTGCAGATAAGGGAGGAGTACACAGAGGACCTTCCTCACACAGGCCACAGGCATGTCAGTGGCTGAGGGAGGGCCCCACAGGGCAGCCCTCCGGCCCGGGCTTCTCCTGCACAGTGCCCCCTCTTCCCTCGTCCAGAGCTACAAGTGGGCCAGAGACATCGGGGGTGATCCCAGGGGCAGTAGCAGGTCTCCTCAGAGAGAGCCCAGGGAGGGGTCATCCACGTGGTACTCACTTTCAGACAGTGCCTACCCACCACCCAGCAAGGGAAGGACTGAGAGCTGGAAAATACCACCCTGAGATCCCCAAACACTCATGGCTTGTCCCAGGGCTAATGTCTCAATGCCGGGACACTAGCAAGGGAGGGAGGGATGCTGGGGAAGCTTCTGGCTGGAGCAAGTTTACCTCCTTCCAAACCTGACTGTCACCAGGCACAAGGGAACACAAAGCAGAAAGGCCATCATCCAGCCAGTGGCCCCCGGCCCATGGGCACATTCAGCACCACCATGGGGCAGTGGGAGGGGCTGGAGGAGTGGCAGGCAGCAGCCCCCTAGAGGCACAGGTGGGCATGAATGGACCAGCAGTCTGCCAAGTCCCTTCCAGGTCCCTTTCAGGAGGAGCATGTGCCGTCTTGGAGGAGTCCCTCTCCCTCTGGGGCATTTTTTTGGTGTGGCTGTCCCATGCTGACATCAGCCTCGTGCGCCGGCTCTGAGATCCCAGTGGGCGGAGGCAGGAGGGGTGTGCGGACACAAAGATCATGCACAAAACAATACGCCTTTCTTTGTTTCAAGTTATTCATTTACACATTATAATTTCCAGGCTTCTACGTGTTCACTCTTTTCTCTCACATCACAACACTTTTTCACGGATAGGACGGTTTACAGTTTATAGTCGTGAGCATGAGGATGAGGGTGAGAAACAGTTTCTGGTTACTGAGCATCTACTATGGGCCAGGCAGAGCGTTACACGTGCCACGAGCACGGGCACACGGCTGGTCAGTGACGCGCCCGGATCGGAACTTGGCTCTGTCTCACTGCTAAGGCCAGGACCTTTCCTCTGCTTCCCCACACCCACGTCTACCGCTCTTGCCTCTGCTTCCAAGCCTTGTCCTCAGAAAACCTCCCCCAGCCCAGCTCAGACCCAAGGGCATCTCCCCGGAGACGCTGAGCACGTTTGCCTGCAGCCGGCTGCGGTGCCCACCTATGGTTTACGACATCTTGAAGCAAACAGCTTAATCTGGAGTTTTCTCTACATTTGAACATCACTCCTAGTTCAGTCTTTGCAGCACCCCTAGAGTCGGGCAGACATCATCTTTGTCTACCTGTAACGTCTGAGGCTCTAACGCCCCTGACTCCCTGGAGGCGGGACAATGCCCTGTCATCAACTCCAAGTCTGGGCTCGCCCCCTGGACCATGCCACGTCTGCTCTGGAGGGAAAGGCCTGAACTTCCAACCTGACAGCATGGGAAGTCTTCTCTCTAAAATAACCCAGGAGCCCAATCTTCCTGAATTCTGGCCAGTTCCGGGGTGTAACACGGAGACTCAGCAGGGTGGCCCACTGCTAGTGCACTAGCTAAGTGATGTCAGGCCCAGAGAAATCAGCAAACGGCCGGAGCATCTGCTCTGCTGTCTGGTGTGCCCTTATGTTCACTGGCCTGTGCTTATATTCTTTAACGAGCAAGGCTTAGATATGGGGGTACTGTTCAGAGTTGGGGGGCCCCTTTGCTGCAAGGCTTTCCATACGCATTATAGTTCCTTGCTCAAAAGAACCACTCACGTGAATAAAAGTTGTCCCCTTGCGTTCTATGAAGAGGGTCTCTATCGGTCCCACTACTGAGGGACAGAGACTGGCTGTCTAGGTCTGGAGAGTTAGTCCTGGTGTCTGTGTCCCCCTTAAGAATCAGCCAGCTGGTCTTCTGCAAAGGAAAAAAAAGTCATATCAATCTTGAGGTCATCTGCAATGGAGGAAACATCTCACTGGAACTTTCTAGTAGCTTCCTTACTTCTACAAGCTGACCCCACCGTGAGAAAACTCAATGTGTGAAAAATCCAGCTTCAGGTAAACGTCACCATTCAATGTGACCTATCTAGATGGTCTATAGGCACACGAAGCATTTGGGGGAAATGGCATTGCCCCATTTTACAGTGAGGGAACTGAGGCTCAGAAGAATCAGGGGCCCAGATGGCTTCAGGTGAGGACAACATGGTGAGGTTGTCCAAGTACAGCCTCAGGCTCTTTCCACACTCAAACCCACCTTCCGTAAAGACCAGAGAAGGGGCCTGACTCGACGGGCAGGGAGGGCAAACTCAGGCCACCGGCCAAACCCTGTCTGCAGCCTGCTTCTGCAGCTAAAGCATTCTTGGAACGCTGCCACGCCCGTACATGCATGCAGGTCTCTGGCTGCTTTGTAGAGCTGAATAGCTACATCAGAGATGGCACAGCCTGCAAAGCCTGACATACGTACTTTCTGCCGAGCCTGTTCTAGAACAATCATCCTCGTGCCTTGAGAATGCACTGTGCCTCATTTCCCTTTCATTGTCCACGTCCCCTCAGTTACAGACCCCAACCGTCACATGTATATAACCAGGACTGTGGCCTCACAGGACACCTAAGGGACAGGGCGTAAGAGGAGGACCCTGAGATTCCAGTTGGAGGAGCCCCCCAAAACCAGGTTTCTTTCTGAACAAGGCTGTTCTACCTGAGGTCATCTCCCCAAATTACCTTCCTGTTATCCTGGTCGAAACTTCCATCCTCCCCATCCGATCGCCTTGTGGCTGGAAGGGAAAAATCAGTTTGTAAAGGCAGCAGACCATTTATTCTGGGTTTCCACATCACAGTTTCCCACTGTACAGTTATGCTCAAAAATGGAAAACGATCCGTGTGTGAGTGTCATTTAAGTGCGAGAAACAAGACAAGCTGGAGAAGGCTCCCCAAGGGGACACTGCCCGGTAGGTGGGCACGTGCCCTTGAGTGTAGACAGTGTTCACATCACCAGCAGGGTGTGAAGTGATGCCGAATTTCAGTTCTGGTCACCCCGTGCAGAGAAACAGATCAGGCTTTTAGACGTTCACCACTTGGCATTTTGAAGAACACACGTTCTACCTTCCAAGTTGAACTTGGAAGTAACAGAAGGTCTCGGTCACGGAGGCCCTAGGAGTCAGACCTGAGCTAGGCACTTTAGGTACATTACTGTCTGTCCCCACCCAGCCCTGCAGGATGGGGCTGCGCGACCATTGCACGGAGGGGGAGACCGAGGCTCAGGGCGATGGCTTGCCCTGCCCGAGCTCAGAGACTCGTGGGTGGTACAGCTGGACATGAACCCAGGCAGTCTGAGTCCAAAGTCCTTCTCCTGTCTGCCCCACCTCACTGCCTGCCACTTGCAAAACACAAAATGGTGAATTATGTCCTGGACAAAGTCCATGAGTCAGTGCAGTGAAGAAATCCACCAGGAATGGACTCAACGAGACAGAGCAAGTGAGAGTTCATGCAGCACAGGTGCATTTGCCATGAGGACTCTCTGGAGCAGAGAAATGAGGTGTCTGTATTCTCCACTCACCTTTTCTGGGGGGTTGTCACCCAGCTGGGCCGACATTAGTTCTAACCAAGAATAAGCAGTCACACCAGGGCATGCTGACATTTCTCGGCATCCAATTTGGTACATCAAGACCCATTTTGTGTATCCCTCACTAAAACATCCACCCCATGCACGGAACAGGAAGACCAGTCTCCTTCCCCGCCACAAAGCAGAGGGTGGGCTTACCTGCCGCCTGCTGAGGGCTTGGACCTGTCAGTCTTTTGGAGCACCCTGCCTCCTGCACCACCAACGATAAGACTGATACCAGGCCAGAGAGCTTGGAAATTGGGGATTGGACTACAGGACCTTGACAAGATAAGGCCAAAATGGAAGACTGAGCAGGTCCGTCCTGGACACGCTGACATTTCATTATCTCAATGGCTACCTGTTTCTCCTTCTTCTAGGAGAGACAGTGATTTTCCATGTGAAGATAAATAAATCAATAAAAACCCTCTCTCCATTCACAGAGGCAAATAATGTCGCACCTGCTCCAGGAGCGCTGGGACAGAGAGGGACACAGGAAGAAGCAGGGAGCACAGGCAGATGCAGGCCCAGCAGCCAGAGCTCCCCTGTTGCTCAGACAACAGCTGTCGCTGGGCAGTGGGCCCTTGAATGTGTGGCCAAACATCAGTTGTGACTTCTGGCAGCCGGCCGGCAAGCCCCAGGGACGACTGGACCAGTGGCTACTTGGAGCTCTAAGGGCACCACTGTCCAAGCCCAGGAAGGCCCCTGGGCTGAGAGTGCTGGCAAAAATATGTGAGCCATATTCCTGAAAAGCCAAGAGGCCAGCACCTGATCACAACACTTGGAATAATCTGCAAGTGCAAAATCAATTAAATGGCTCCAGCTGAAGGGCTCTTTGGGACGTGAAGTCCCAGCCCTTGGGGTTCAGGCCACCGGCCCAGGGGCCGCCCTGGCTTCAAGGACTTCACATAGCTGTGGACAAGTTGGCCAGATGTATCTGGCTGTAGAGCTACCTCAGGGCTCAAAAACAGCCTCACCATCTGATAAGAGGGGTGTTCTGCCAAGACCTAGCAAGTTTCCTCTGCAAACACCCCCAGCTCACCCAGCTGTACACAGTTTAACCAGACTCAAACCAAGGGCCTTTCGGAACCATTAACCAGCCCACAAAACATATAATGCAGTCTCTTGAGAACTAGGAGCTTGGGTAGGAAAATACAGAAAATGGGCACTTTGTATTACTTCCTTAACAGCTCTGAATCTCAGTTTCCATATCTGTAAAATGGGCCAATGACACCTGCCCCTCCAAGTTGTGAGGACCACATGAGAGAACTTATGTGGCCACTGGAATATAGTGGAGGGCTCAGCTTAAAGGGGTGAAGAATCAGAGATTAACAAGAGGCTAACTCTGAGGCTCATTCGTAGCATGCTGTTTTGGGGTGTCAGGAAAAGACAGATCAATTCAGGACCACCAGAGAAAGAAAGTTTAGTGTGTCTTTCGTATCACACAAGTCTGTTCCTTCTGAGCCCTGGAATGCACCTAACACGAGGAACCCTTGGGGAAGGCTGACTTCCTTCTCCCTGTATCCCTTGGGGAATCTTTGTTGGAGGCGTCTGTGAGGTGACAGTGAGAGGTCTCTCACCTTTCTGGACACAGAACTGGCCTGCCTTCCCCCTCCTCACACCTTATCTTATCACCATCCCTACCTGAACACCCATGCGTGCATGTATACATTCCCTTAACTACCTATATATTCATTTCCATCACTTATCCACCCCCAACTCATTTAACTATCCACCCACCCATCCACACACCCACCCACCCATCCACACACCCACCCATGCATTTGTCCATTTATTGTGCTTCTCATCCATCAGTTCACCCACCTACCCATCTGCTTATCTTCCTATCCACTCATCTGACCATCTTTCCATTCATATGTCCATCCACCCGTCCTTCCATCTATCCATCCACTCACCCACCCATCCATTCATCCCTCTCTGTCCACCTCAATCCCTTTCTTTGCCCACTGACGTGTCTGTTCATGCAGCCCTCTGTCCATCTATCCTTTTCTCCATCTACCCTCTGTTTGCCTCCAACCTTTATCCCCTCTCCCTTCACTGGGTGCTGAGTGCACACCTGTGCGTACTGTCCCAAGTATGGGGCATGCAGAGAAAACTCAGACATGACCCTCGTCTTTCAGAAGCTCACAGGCCGGGGTCATGGAGGCACACAGGTGCACTGGAAGGTTTTTATATAAAACAAGTGCTTTGATGGAGGGAGCAAAGTCAGTGCAGAGGTACTCCCCTGAGAACATGCATGTGGTGAGCGCTTACTGAATACCTACTCATTGGACAGGCCGAGTGCCGCAGTCTGCATAAACACTTGTTAAGTGTGTTAACAGATAATAATAGATGTTATGAACTTCATTACAGATGAGGAGATTGAGGTCCAGAGAGAAAGAGAGAACACGAGTGTGCATGTGTGCTTGTGTGTGTGTGTGAGTGTGTGTGTGTGTGTGTGTGTGTGTGTGTGAATGTGCACATGCAGTGCTCAGAGTGTGGGCACTGGAAGCTGGAATCCCTGCCTAGCCTCTCACCAACTGCTCGGCTGTGGGCAAGTCCATGAGGATCTTAGCTACCTGAGGTCAGGGCTGTGTTTGGTCACCCAGGTATCTGCAGCAGTGGGAAACAGCCTAGCACAGAGCAGGTGCTCCAGAAATATTCCTTGGATAGATCAAAGAAAGTCACTTAAATCCCTCTGCACTCGGCTCCCCCACCTGTTGAGTTGGGATAACCACATTTGCTCACTGGTGGCTGTCAGGCTGAGCGTGACACCAGGGGAACAGGAAAGTGGGCTGGAGACTCAGGCCCTGGCAGTGTCTCGGCTGCCTGGGTCTCCCATGCCCACCTTTCTTCCACCTTCCTGTGACTGAGTCTGTGCATTTTCCGCGAGTCTAGTGTGTCTTTCGTAGCACACAGGCAGTTCCTTCTGAGCTCGGGAATGATCTGCCGGGAAACGCTCTTGGGAAAGGCTGACTTCCTCCTCCCTGGCTCCCTCGGGGAAGCTTTGCTGGAGGCACCTGGTGATGGTGGGAGGTCTCTCATCTTCTGTCTGGAAGCAGAGCTTGCCTGCCAGCCGCCTTTCCTCCCAGCCCACAAGTCCCTGAATCAAAATGAGACTCAACCCCACGAGAAAGGGATCCCAGAGAGACACAGCAAGAAGTGAGTGATCTATCTCAAGCCAGGGGCCAAAGAAACGGTGACTGATGTGTTCCACACGTGGCCACCACCCTGTCTTGTTTGGGCGGGTGGCCCTAGGAAAACGGGTGGCCGCGGTAGCATTCTTGTCCATCTTGCAGGCCGCCGGCCGTGGGGGGACTGTGGGGGAGCCCCTCCTGCCCCCTGGGCCCGAGCTTCCCCTCACTCATCGCCTTGGATGGCTCATGCTTGCTTAGAAATGAAACAGCAAATCTGGTGAAACTTAAGTATTGTCCCTGCATTCGGACAGTCAAACTTCCTGGGAAATTTTGTGGAAGGCTTTATTTTTTTCTTGTAAATTCATTTTAAACAGGCTAACAATTGGGCACAGCTTCCCTCCGAGGAGGGGATCTACCACCAGAACCCCCCCCCCCGCCATGTGCCAAGCCTCATGACATCTCCCTGAAACTTCCTCAAAGCCCCACGAGGGACGTGGCCTTGAACCCGTTTCCCAGAGGAGGAGACGGACTCCGAGAAGGAAGCACCTGCTCCCAGTGACGGAGCTGGCAGTGGAGGAGCTGTGGTTTGCACCTGATCTGCGAGTGACTCCAGACAGGGCGTGAAAACACAAAAACTGACTCCAGCTGCACCTGAACTGCTAAACCTCCCGAACTCGTTGTCCCTGAGTGGCCTGCACGCAGGTGGCTGGGAGGCCCCACTGCACCTGCCTCTGCCCAGACCCTCTTGCGATGATCCTGCTTCACATCTGTTCTTGCTGTGTAGGGCGGCCTTCCCTTCCTGCTCCCCTCTCTTTTTATTTCCCACTCATTTCCTTCTGCTTCCTTTCCTCTCTATCTTTTTTTAAAAAGTCAATAACTAATAACCAAGTAGAGTTGGAACTAATGTAGAATAAGAAAATACTGTCAATGCCTGGTCACTCCATCACCCCAGCCTCAGCTCCCACGCCTGTAATACCCCAGCCTCAGAGGAGCGTCAGGATGAAACAAGGTGCCATTTGGTGTCATTTTTCGAGTGCCCAGCATGCTGCAGTCATGCATTAAACGGCGGCTATGTGAACAACAGTCATTGTATCCTCAACACCACGTGTCGCTACCCCGGGACTGGCAGTCCTGGCCACCCTCATGGCTGCAGGCTTATTTCCCAAAAGCAGGAAAGAGACTCGGGCATCAGAAAAGAGTAATGCTAATTAAACCAAACCAAAAATATCTTTCAATGAGTTTGAAATAAAAGTCAAAAAGTAAATAAAAAAGTAAATTAAAAGACTTGATTCTTTAAAAACTTATTAAATGTATTATCTTAAACTGATTAAATGGTCTAGTAACTCAACATCATCACCCAGAGCTTGTTTCAGGGAGGTCTGGAGATTCAGGTGAGGACCAGCCGGCCTGAGCCGTGCTCCCCTCTCCCCTCAGAGAAGACCGGATGGTCAGTCTGCCCAGAGGGGGCAGGAGGGCTCCATGTGGGCCCTCAACATGCACACACACATGCATGTACACATGCACTCACACACACATGCATGCACAGTGCACACACATGCACGATGCACACACATGCACACACCTCCAACAGGATGTAATCCACCTGGATAGGGAGAAAATCTTATAAAAAAAAAAAGCGTCTTAAATGCATGTGTTGGGAACTAAACGCCTGCTAATCCATCCATTATTTTCTGAAAGTTCTCTGAAGAAACCTGGTTAAGGAGAGTACACGTCCCACGCCAAAGCCTCTGTCTATGTTCATTACATACAATTTACGTGGCCCATTTACACCCAAGTCAGGGACAGATTTTATTCACATCTTTCTCCAGAACGAGGCCGAAAGCTTGGCAGGGAGTAGGCGCTCTATAAAGTCTATTTCATAAAAGAATCAATATTTTAAAATTCTGGAATGATAAAGGCTTTTGGTTATTGCTCAGGGTTTAGTCAAATAGGAATTAACTTTGCCTTTGGATAGGAGAGTCATTTATATCCAGATTAAAACAAACACACACACACAAAGATGATCACTGGTGATAGGGAAGCCTGATCTCTCCCCTGATGATTCAGTTAAAGGATCTGATGTTGGAAGCTCTTTGTCCTAGACCTGGCTCTGTCAGAGGCTAGTAAGCAGTTTCATAAGCTGATTGAGGTAGTCATTTAACATGACTGCTTCTTCCTTTGGCTGGGTCTCAGTTTCCCCACCTGTAACAGGAGGGAGCTGGTCAATCTCTAAGGGCCCTGAAGTCTAACAAGCTCATCTCTCTTGGATCCTTCTTGGAGATTCACACTCTAAGCTGCTCTGGTTGAAAGGCAATGGTTAAAAGTCATCACCTTCTGGAAACCCATGAGATCTAATTCATTCTTTTCCTTCCTGGGCAGAGGAGGAAATGCACAAAGCCCAGAGTCTACTGCCACCGTGGAGAAAACTTAAAAATGTGGCTTGCACGGCTAGTTCGTCAGCAAGCTGCAGAAAGCACACTTTTACAGGGTCCCACCTGAAAGTGTCCATCCAGTTGTCAATAGGGGGTGTGGTGGTTTTCTTTGGGTACATCGGGACCAGAACTTTCAATATGGAAATTCCTCCTCCCACCTCTAGCGACATGATAACAATCCCATCATGTGCACAGCACTTTACAGTCTAGAATGTGCTTTCACATTCGTTATTCCACGAGGTCCTTACAACGAGCCCGTGAAGAGAGGGCAGGGCGGGAGGGGTCGGTCCTGTTTTGCAGATAAGGAAACAGAGGCTCAGATGGGGAAGCAACGTGCCCCTGATCACCCAGAAATCCCGCGATGAAAGAAGGGGACTCCTTGAGCCTTCTGATTCCTGCCCCATGGCCCATATGACCTGCTCCCTGCACACCTGTCCCAGGTAGGCCCACGTGGAGCAGCAGTGGGGGCCAGAGGGCCAAGAGATGCCCTCACTGCTATCTCTGGCCCTTATCTGCTGATGTAAGAAATCTCTCTAACTGAAGGCAAGTTCATTCATTCCATCATCAGAAATTCTCAAAACACATGACATAAAATCTCACGAAAGAATAAATGACTAATTCTAGTTTGTTCTATTTCCCAAAGATCCGGCCTGGACCAGGTCATGGCTCAAGAGCCTTCGACCCTCACCCGCCTGGCTGGCATCAGTCTGGCTGCTTTCCTCAAAGGAGCAGCATTGCAGCCACCGAAACCAGGCTCTCGGTCATAAAGCCTCAGCCCCAGCCCTGTCTGGCGTGTATTAGCCTCAGGTTTATAACACAGGAGTGGCCTCCTCAGACGTGCCCTTCACTGTAATTTATGAAAAGAGGCCTCTCAGGAGCTGCTGGTGAATTAGCATCTAACACGCAGGCTGCCGAGGGCCTCTGTGGCGCCTTCCCCACATTCACGAGAACACAACAAGAGGATGCACTCAGAAGCAAGCGGGCACTGGCGGGCATGCGGGTGAGCACGCAGCAGAGGGATCCAACTGTACCATGCTGTTTGTAGATGGGGGGTTTCCTATAGATGTTATCTTTTACGCCAGTGTCTGGGAAAGAAGAGAGAAAAAGGAGAGAACAGGACGGTGAGCACATGAGGATGGCTGCTGCTCCACTGCTCTAGGAGGCAGTGCTCACTCACCCTGGTCTAGAACCACCAGGACGGGTCTGCCACCCTGCAAGCAGCTGGCATCCAGGCCCCGCACACCAGACCCACCCCCGATCTGCTAGGGACAGGGAGAGACGCAGCCAGGGTGGCAGCAAGCAAGCACCTCAGGGCCACAGGAAGTGCACCTGCTCGGCCCCTTCTCCATCCGCGCCCCCCAGGAGGAAGGAAAGGTCTCTCTGGTGTTTGGGGGGCTCTGGGAGAAACTCAAACACACGTCAGTTTGGGGATGTGCAAACCCATCTGATGAGTTTTAAAGAATCTCAGATTTGGGGGCACAATGGCAAAGCTCAGTGAATCCCGTGACGCCTGCCGGGTTGAGGCCAAGTGCTGGCAGCCAGATGTTCTGCGAGGGGCACCCGGCAAGGGTGTCCCTGGCCTACCTGGGACGTGGAAGTGCCGCGGAGCCTGCTGGTAGGTGGAGGAAGGAGGCTTGCTGTCCGAGAGCACGGAGAGGCTGGGGGTGCTGCGGCCGCTTTCACTGCCTCCAGGCACAAGAGCAGATGGCAGGTGAAAGGGGGACACGGAAAAGCAAAGGACAGCATTTCAAGCACAGAAGCTCCTTCGTGGCCAGCCCGTCTCTCCTGCCCCGGGGGGCCTCCCAGACCCCTACCCGGCGAAGGCAGTGGGGCCCCCACCGGCTTTCCGAGACTGGGTCTAGTGACTTGTTAATCCAACCTTGAGCTGAACGCCACTGCACGGCCCGTGGCAAGGTAGCAGCAAGGCACGCCCTGGCAGAGAGCTCGCAGGCGCCCACTTCATTGGGGCCTGGGTGCCCGGCGGGCCTGGCATGCTTGCGGGGCTCACCCGTCAGCCACTCAGTGCCTGGCTGCTGTCTGCACCCAGCAAAGTGCAAATTCACCAAAACTAAGGCCTCCCTTCCTACTTATCCTTGTCTATAAAGAAGCTGCTTTCTTTGTGAGTCTACACTTCAGCCATTCAGAATAGGATTAAAGTGCTAAAACGAATCAAAAGCATCCTTAAAAGCCGTTGAGTCAAACTTTGCCAGCTACAGGAGCAGGAGAGCAGAATCGTGTCCACCCGTTGCTGTGTTCCTCCATAAAGCTATTTTTTGGCAAATTAAATGGAAAGCATCCTAGGACCCTGGCTCCAATTCCTGACCTCACCTGGAACTGGAATTTCTGTTTTGTGAACAAGGTTGGATTATCAAGTCACAGATCTAGACATCTGAGGTGACTGGGCGAACGCTCCCTCTCCCCACACGCTCCTGCCTCCGGAATGAATGATGTGACAGACAGGACGCAGCGGGGACCGAACGCTTCTGACGAGGAGACACACGGCTCATTCTAGCAAGACGCTTCTAAGGCGCGATGAACTCATCTCTCGCCTTAGCCTCAGCAGACACTCCTCGGCCAGGAAGAGGGACGCTCTTGACTTGGGAGCATCCCCTTTGAGTTGCAACTGTTCGGAGCAGTGGGACCCTACAGTGACATTGTAATGAACAGAACTTCTACAGCAGTCCAAGTCATGCCTGGCCTAGGAGTGGACGTGCTGGGCTCACAGGGAAGGCTCGACAGATGCTGTGCAGAGTGCCCTGGCCTGGGTGGGTGAGCTGGGTGTGGTGGGAGGGTATGCAGGGGCAGGGGGGCTCAGCTTGAGCAGACCCCAGCCAGCGGCCCACACCAGCTAAGGCCACAAAGGGGACCGCTGACTCCACCTTCACGAATCTTTTCCTGTCTGGGTTTGGGCACCAAGTTCACCTGTCAGTGCTGATAGAAATTCAGTTAAATGCTTTTCCCTTAGCTACCTCCCTCCAGAACAGCATAGAACCTTCCAGAGCTTCACTTGAGTCTACAGGCTCCTGCACCTCCTGGTGGTCAGGGGTCTCCCACCAGGGCGACTAGACCCATGTGCAAGGAAAGGGAACCACGGATCCTGTCTACCGACTGTGGCTGTGACTATGTCCAGCCCCAAGGGCAGCCAGACGGGACAGAGCAGGGCTCTACAAAGTGCACCTACACGACCTCGGGCCCGCTGAAGACTTTCACTAAGCTGAGCGGGCCCTGTCGTGGCCCATTGAATCCAGAGGCCTCACACGGCTTATTTCTTTCTTTCTATGGGATTCAGTGTCCCTCTTTCACCTCAGCTCCTGCCCAGGTGGCTGAGGATTCTAACACGTCGTAGCGTCCCTGACCTCCCCAGTTCCCAGCCCACAGAGCAGTGCACCCTGAGATCACAGACGGGATTCTGTGTGCGTGCGTGTACACTTATCTGAGGGGGGCCATGGCTGTCAGCAGATGCTCAGGAAAGCCCCAGACCAAGGAGAGGCCGGGACAGAGTTACGGTGGCCTGACGGCCCCCCAGGTCCACCCCACACCTGCCACTCAGGGGCCTCTCACACCAGCCACTGAATTCTGCCCCCTCAATCCCCACCTCAGACACCACTGCCACGTCCCTCCCTCCCTCCCTTCCGGCCTCCCTGCCACCCGCCACCCCACCTGGGATGCCCGTCCTGGTGGAGGCCCCCCCCGGTCCCCCCCCCCCCCTGCCACTCAGGGGCCTCTCACACCAGCCACTGAATTCTGCCCCCTCAATCCCCACCTCAGACACCACTGCCACGTCCCTCCCTCCCTCCCTTCCGGCCTCCCTGCCACCCGCCACCCCACCTGGGATGCCCGTCCTGGTGGAGGCTCAGGGACCGCCTCTTCTGCAAGGCCTTCGAGGAGGACACGGCCCACTGCAGACCTGGCCTTCTCTGCCCTTGTGCCTGCCCACTCCCCGCATGGCTTCCTGGCCAATGTCAACCTGTGGTGCCACCTGCAGCAGTCTGCCCACGTTATCTCCAGGCCTGCCCATGACAGCCCTGCAGGGCAGCCACCACCTTCACCTCCTTCTGCAGAGGGCCCAGGGCTGGCAGGGCATGAGGCCAGTGTCCTGTGAGCCCCGCTGGGTCAGTGCTGGGAAGCCAGCTTCCTCCTTGGGCCTGAGTGGTAAAATCCCTGGCCCCTGATGTCACCCTGATTATGAGAAAACCACACGAGAGCTTGGCTGTATGGTGACTTTGGGAGGGCACACAGGCCCCTTGCACTGAGGCTCACGGCTTATCCTGGACAGGTCCCGTCCCAGGCAGCTTCTGCGGTCCCCTAGGGGGGCCTTCTGCGTCCTTCATCTTGAGTGAGGGCCTGCTGGTGGGTGAGCAGCCCCAGGCCTTGCAAAAGCCACCGCCTTCTTTTTAGATTTAAATAAATGCTTTATTTTGGAGCAGTTTCAGGCAGTACAGCGAGGTCCTGCACACTCCCCACCCAGTCTTCCCGTCCTTAACACCGCACAGCACTACGGCCCCCAACACGATAGTGTTAGCCAAGTGCCATGGTTTATCGGATTTCACCAATTCTAGGGCCCACCCAGGAGACCACATGACATTTGGTCATCACGTCTCCGTTGGCTCCTCTTGGCTGTCACAGTTTCGTAGACTTTCCTTGCTTCTGATGACCTTGACGGTCTTGAGGAGCACCGGGCAGGGATTTTGCAGAATGCACCTCCGTTTGGGTCTGTCTGGAGTGCTCCTCACGGTTAGACAGGGGTTGTCATGGTTTCGGGAGGAAGACCCCAGAGGCTAAGGCGTCCTCATCACATCGCACCGGGGTCTGCACCGTCACCAGGACTTAGCGCTGACGGAGATGCTGGGGTGGCGTCTGTCAGGATTCTCTGCTGTAGTCACTCTTGTCCCCTCTCTGCATAGAACTCTCTGGAAGGAAGTCACTGCGTGCAGACCACACGTAATGACACTGAGGAGCGGGGAGTTATGCGCCACCTTCTCGAGGATGGAGTAGCTACATAAATTATTCGGAATTCTTCTGTATGAGATGTTTGCCTCTTCCCCAAACACGTGTTTATTCAATTGTTTGTATCAGCACAGATGTGTGGATACTTATGTGATACGCTGGCTTACATCCAATGCCATGGTATTCATTTTGTTGCTCAGATTGTCCCTGTTTGGTCCCCGGGAGCTCCCTCGGTTGGCTCCTGTTGAGCCTTCACAAGGTGATGCCAGAGCAAGGCCAGCTCGCAGCCACATGCAGAGCCTGGTGGGACGACAACCAAGACGTGTGTATGCAAGTTTCACGCTGTGCAACCCACAGCCACACCCTGTCCGAGTCATGGACCATGACCACCTGCGAGGCTTGGGAACTGTTTTCGAGCCAAGGGAGCAGATGCTCAGAGGATGAAGAGTTGCCTGCGGGGTACAGGGGGTTGGGGAAGTGGCCTTGACCTGAGGCTCCGCACCCTCCCTTCCTTCTCGGGCCACACGATTTGGGGAAGGCTCCCTGATCAGCAAATGGGGGCTGCCCCGCCTCGACTGCCCTTGGCACCCCACGCCTGCCTGTCCCTGCTGCTTGCTCCTTAGCACGCAAGAGGTCGGGCTTACACACACAGGAGACACACCAGGGGCTGAAATTCGTACTCAAGTGCAAATGACCACGTTGGCTCCTCTCCTGAATGTGGGTCTGGAGGAGGGTGGAGCTGGGCACTGAGACACAGTGGGGAGGTGTGTGTGGGGTGCTGGGGAGGGGAGAGAAGGGAAGTGAGGGCGCCTGCCAGTACCTGCCGCGTCTGGGCACGCTCTGGCTGGGGAGGGTTTGGCTCTCCTTGGGGAGAACTCCACCCGCAGCATCGGCCAGAGGGAGATCTGCACTGAGCAGAGACAAAGATGCTAAATGTGCCCTGGGGGGCCCGCAGGGAAGGCTTTCCAGGACGTGGGTGGATGCTAGGCCCTGTGTCCAGCTGAGAGGAAGGCAGGCAGCCCTTGGCACAGCTGGCCTCTAGAGTGCCCACAGGCTGGGTTGCGCTGTAGCCCATTGGCTGGAGAGGAGGATGGTCCCCTTTGGTGTGGCCTCCTAGGTGGACCCAGGACCCGAGGGTGGACATGGCTCGTGAACACAGGCTCAGGGGTGGAAGCCTGACCCTGGACTCTGCACAGAGGAGCTTTCGGATCTGGGCCAGTGACTTCTCTCTGAGCCTCAGTCTCCTCAGGGGTAAGTTCTAGAAGGAGGTGGGTGCTCCCGAGGTCACAGACAGCCATGGAAGTCAGGCAGGGGGCAGAGCCATGGGTATTGGGCTTCCTCGCATCCAAAACCAGAAGGGAGGGCAGGAGGCTTTGTCTGATCTCTGAACAAAGGGCACTGGCGGCCGAAGCAGCCAGAAAAAAACCAGGGCAGAGGCTGGCATCAGGCAGCAAAGCCGACCCTGGGGCTGGCAGGTGGGAGGAAAGCCGCGTGTCGGGGCCTCCCAACGTTTAAGCAAAGGGGAAAGCAGCATCCTTCGTGTGTCCTGCAGGGACTTGGCTGGACAGTCGGGTGCACTCTGGGTTTTGAGAGCACACACCCCGTGCGATCCCGTGGACTGCGGGATACGTGCAGCAAGGCCTGCCCGGCCGCCCTTCTGCTCTCAGGACACGCGGTTTTGGGCTTTGCTTCTTCTCAGAAGAGACGATACATCCCATAGAGACCCTGAGCTATAGAGACAGGTCCACAAAGAGGACAGGAAGGCCATACCGATGACTAGGGACTCTCTTCTCAGTAGACCAGTGGGGTCCACGCAAAGCAAGGGATGACCAGAGACGCGAGATAAATGCGCACGTTCACACAAGCCCCATCTGATGGCCATCAAGGGACGGGAGGATCCCGCTGCGTTCCCCTGGCCTTCCTGTCCCCTGTGGGATGGGGGCTCTTCCAGGCACCTTCCCCTCCGCAGCTGTGACAGGCAGGGAGCTCAGCACCGCCTGGAGAAACGCTGCTTCCTCTGACACCTCGAGCGTCTTTCTACGGTGCCTTAGTCCACTAGGGCTGGTAACAAGCCCCACAGACTGGCGGGCCGAACCACAGGCGGTCATTTCCCACAGTTCCCGAGGCTGGGGTCTCAGGTCAAGGTCCGGCCGGGTGTGGTGTCTGGCGAGCCTCTTCCTGGCTTGCAGACCATCTTTTGTCCTCACGTGGCCTTTCTTCTGGTGTGCACGGAGGGAGACACACATCTGGGGTTTCGGCCTCTTCTTATCAGGCCACTGGCCTTATTGGATTAGGGCCCCACCCTGTGACCTCATTTAACCTTAATTGCCTCCTAAAGACTCTAAAATATCCAAATATTGTCACGTTGGGAGGTTAGGGCTTCAGATATGAAGTTTGGGGAACACAGGTCAGTCTAGAGCATATGGGGAAACACGAGCTTGGCCATTTCCTGGTGGACGCACATGCACACGTCCATGCAGGGATGTGGACGGAGAGTGGACGTGTGTCCCGGGAAGAGCCACGAGTGGGAATCGTACAGGGTGCGGATCCTGCCCCGCCACCAGGAGCTTAGCTGAGGAAAGGAGATGCTCATAGCACCCGTGCCCCATGGGTGCTGCCGGCAGTAAAATGGCATGACCTAGATAAGTAAGACTCTTAGAGAAAAGCCCAGGGGAGGGCCTAGCAAATCCTAGTCTCCTTTTCCCGCAGCTTTTCAGTCCCACTCCCCTCCACCTGCTCCCTGACATCACAAGTTGCCTAGGTTTTCCTTCCAGGAACATTTACAGACTGACAGAAACAGAGCTGGATGCACAAGACACACACAGCGGGGGCAAGGGCGGGACACAAAGGGCCGGGGAAGCCATGCTGCAGACACAGGACAGCGAGCACACAGACACCGTGTGGACGCCCTCCAGCACCCCAGCCCGCAGCACTGCGCGCCTTACCTCGGAAGTAGGGGATGTAATGATGTCTGAACACGGAGGTAGGGCTTGGGTGTTGGGACAGGGAGAGGCAGCTACTGGTACCAACACTCACAGTACCAGCTACGGGGCAACAGAGAGCAAGTCAGAGTCAACCCCGGGCTCTCTGACCTCAAAGCCACAAAATATTCCTAGTCCCCACTCTGCTAGGAACATTTTTGCTTCCTCTTTCAAGGAATGCACACCTTTTTGAGGCACCAAAGGGGGTCACCAAATATGCCATAGACCACTCTCCTCCAGGCACAGAGGGAAGAAACCCTGCCCTCTGAGAACAAGGTGGCCCGAAGGCAGCTGGGCAGGAGCCGCTGGCTGGGGCTCCAGGGGGAACGGTCTCCTGAGCCATGTCTGTCACTCCACTTTGAGGGTCTCCTTGGGATCAAGGACCCAGATGGAGAGCAGCTAGCCAGAGGTCAGGGAGTGGTCTGTCACCACACATCTTCACCAGACTGGCCCATGCGAGATGCAAGGCCTGGCTCCCTGGGGTGCACACCTGGCCAAGCAGTCGGCAAGCCCAGGTGGCCTTTGTAACACAGCAAAGAGTCCCCAGGGGAAGACGCTCAGTAGAGTTGGCTGCCTTTCACTCACTCACTCACTCACTCACTCATACACTCACTCACTCATTCGTTCACTCACTCACTCACTCACTCACTCACTCATTCACTCATTCATTCACTTACTCATTCATTCATTCACTCACTCACTCACCCATTCACTCACTCACTCACTCACTCACTCATACACTCACTCACTCATTCGTTCACTCACTCATTCACTCACTCACTCACCCATTCACTCACTCACTCACCCATTCACTCACTCACTCACTCACTCACTCATACACTCACTCACTCATT